GCAGTGGGTAATTAACACAAGAAGGAAGTCAATCGTACTTTCGGAGTTGTTTTTTTTTTTTTTTGGTTTTATATTGTTTTGTCTGGGCATTTAAAAAGAATTTTAACCTGCAGGTCTTTTGCTGTATAGGATGGTTTCTGATTTTGTACCTTTATGGGATTTCTTTGTGTGGGATGTGCGTCTCTATATGTTTCTTGTGCTTTTTTTCCTTTGGCTCTTTAAAAAAAAAATCTGTTCATTTGCTTATTTTGTCCTTTCAGGTTTGTTTAATTGTGTATTAGTATCATAATATTTACTTATTTATTTTTAGACACCTGCTTGTTTTCTAATAAGAAAGAAGAAGAAAGGGTGTGGATTTGGGTGGGTTGGAAGGCAGGGAGGATCTGGGAGGAGTTAGGAGAGGGGAAACCCTAATCAGAACATGTTATGTGAGAAAAGTCTATTTTCAGAAAGTAGAGCTAGGAACTAATAGTACCAATCACATAGTGTTTTTTGTGATATATACAAATGTGTATTTACATACAAGATACCCAGTAAACAACTGTGTGTTTGTCTACTATATAAATATTTATGAGTATGTCATAACCAGCTGGAGTGGGCTTTCTGCTTTCTTGCCAGCCCTTAGCATTCTCTAGCTGCTTTCTTATAGACAGCCAGAAAACCAACAGATTGTAGTTCTTATCACAACTATTTTTTTTTCTGGCAGTTTTAACATGGCAGATTTTACTTGGAGTTATCAGCAGTGATGTGGGTGGTACTTCCTGGCCAATGTTAACTTGGCTGCAATTAAAGAGACATTAGAAGGTTTTTTTTCTGAATTATCAAGAGGGTTCAAAATTCCCTTCTGACTCAGCCAAGCCCCAACCAGAAAACACAACAAAACAAAAGAGAAACACAGACTATGTCATTCCCTCGCCTTCATGTTTTCATTGCCCACTATTGACATTTTCCAAGGGCATTAGTATTAAATATTCATACAACACAATCTGGTTTCATTAATCTGAACAAGTATGCCCCGACTGAGAAATGAGCTGCAAGGTGAACGTTTTGAAAGGGAAGAAATCTGCTGGCCAGTGATAATTCTGAATGGATGGTGTCTTAGTTAGGGTTTCTGTTGCTGAGAAGAGACATTATGACCACAGCAACTCTTATAAGGAAAATATTTAATTGGGGTGGCTCTCTTACAGTTCAGAGGTTCAGTTATCAAAATGTCGGAGTGCATGGCGGCATGCAGGCAGCTGGGGTGCTGGAGTGGATGAGAGTCCTACATCTTGCAGGCAACAGGAAGTCGTCTGAGAAACTGGGTGGTATCCTGAGTATAAAAAAACCTCAAAACCCGCCCTCAGAGTGACACATTTCTTCCAACAAGATCATATCCCCTCCAACAAAGCCACACCTCCTCATTGTGCTTGAATTCTATGAGATTATGGGGACTAATTATGTTCAAACTACCACAGATATATAGCAAAATTAAAGGTTGATATTTCTGATTCTGGCTTATATGAATTATCATAATCTCTGTCAGGTATTGTTGCTCTTTTTTTCTCTTAAATGACTAGTCAGTTACCTACACTACATAACACAGCTTATGTAGCATTGCTACAGCAAACCCTTCAAAGGTTAGGATTGAGTTTATGTTAAACCAGATCTGTACAACTGTAATCTGATTAGGTAATTCCTATTCATATTGTTTTATTTATACTGTTTATTTCAAATCACAAACTCACAAAGTGAATATGATTAAAAACACATCAGAAACCCACTATGACAGCTAAAGCATCATGTGTTATTTGTTGGTTTTGTATGAAATTTAGAAATCTTGAAGACTTTCCTTAGCAATTGGAGAAAGAAATAATCTCGATTACTGAGGACTTTTTGGCCATTCTTGGAACGTACCTTTGACACTAGAGTTATCTCTACTGAAGATAATCAGCATAGGGCCCTTTTTGAATTTTCCTGCATGCCAAGATTGTAGAGTAAACCGTTTTCACAGACTGCCTCCCATTTCCCTCTTGTACTGTGTGTAAACACTGGATTAATCTGGTTTATAGTTAATACATCAATAGAGGACTTTAACGAAAATGCAATGGTGATAATAACTTCAATCTTTTGGAGATCAAGAGGGTACCTAGAAATGCTAAGTGTTGAAATGGTATAATTGCTTGTGGTACATTTCTTTTTGCTCCTTTTTAGTACCAAAAGAGAAAATCTTCTCTCTCGTTATTAGCACAATAATAATCAGTGCTAAAGTATACACTAGGAGTCTACTGGGAGTTGAGTCAATGCTATTTCTGAGATGGATTTCTCCTCCTAGTTAGGCCATGTTTTCAAAGCCCTGGAAAAACAGCTGTTGGGTCACAGTGACTCTGCTAGGAGGAGGGGATCATTAGGACAGGCTGCAGACAAATAGCTCAGAAGAGCACGGGGAGAGGAAAGAGCATTTCAATACGAGGACAACGAGATGTATTGTCCAAATACCTTACAGCAAGTGCACGGCTGGTTTTTACAAGGTGTGTTAGGCCAGTCAATGACTGACATGAAAATGTGGCAAGAAACAGCCTGGAAGTACATTATCTGTGTCAGCAAGGTGACAGCTCGGGCAGCCCTGATGGACCCTCAACTGCTTTCGCAGATTACACCTGCTACTTTCCCCCCCGCCAGGTAAGAGAATCACATAATGGGCAATTTTAGCTAGCTACATTCCAGGTGCACAGCGACCCGCGGTTCTTTGTACACGGTATGTTTCTTTGATATCCACTCTCCCAAGTTCACTTTGCTTTTTCCAGCAATGGAGATGAATAAAAAGGCTCTGTGCTGAGCAGGATGCAGAGAGGACAAACACGCCTCATGCAGGTCAAGGACCATTCTACGAGAAAAAGAAACGGTGTCTTTAGAGACGCCTTTATTTCTTTTCTCTGAAACAGAATGCTTTTCCAGAGACCCTATAAAAAGATACAAAGATAAGCCAACTTGAAATAGAAAATCGTTTGGAAAAAAAAAGCTTCCTTTTCAGAGAGACACCGAGAGCAGAAGGTGGACTTGAATTTCTAACTGCAAAGTAAAAGCACTCAGCTTTCTTTATGGTTAGGTTGAATGTTAAATACTTAAAGCTGTGTCTATCAGTGTTGGACTAAAACTCCACAAAACTGGCCATCCTGGGAGTATAGAAAACTAGCCCAGCGTGTGAATGGTAACGGCAAAGGAAGAGACTCCCGGGAAGAAAGCTCAAAACTGTGGAGTTACAGGATCCTTTGGCCTCTAAGCCAAAAGTCTCTACATACGGTTGGTACCTGGCGTCGGCAGTGTTTGATGTCTTTCTACCAACTCTTTGCTGCAAGGGAGGCTGAAAGGAAAAAGGAACCCTTTTCTCACTTTCTAAATTGTCATGAAATGAAGTGTATCAGCAGAAGCAAACCCAGATGGCTTAGGGAACCGAGTTTTATCTGGGAGGAGTTGGAGGAGGGGATGACTAAAGAAATTATGATGATGATATTAAATGTGGAGGAAAAGATAAAGGGATGAAGTTGGAAGGGGGAAGCTGGTGTGGGAGGATAGGGAAGGAGTTAGGAGGAGGAGTGCGGAGGCGAATATGGCTCACACATATTACATGGAATTAATAAAATTAATTCTCAAATTAATAAAATGCTGTATTTTAAGAAAATAACAGTAGAAATATTTCACAACGTATTTTTCAGTTTCTTTAAGACTCAATCCATAAATTCTAGAATTAAAGAATAGTGAGAATGTGGTTTGTAGCCAGTTCATCTTGGTACCTCTGCTGAGTTGCTCGGTTGAGACGGAAGCCAGCATCGTCCTCATGACTCACTGCAGAGGGAGGACCAGGGTGATGTAAGAAAGGCCCTGAGGGCATGAACTTCAAGGCATAGACACAGCAGAAGAGCAATCACTTCCTTAACATCATACTGCCTGTCTTTCCTCTCCCTAGTCCCTGTTTCCGGTCAGCTACTTGAGAAAAACAGAAAAACTAGCAATTCCCCAAACCAAAACAAACCAACAAACCAAACCCAAACCATCACTGCTGAAGGAGGATTGACAGGGACAGATTCACAGCAGGTAAAGACAAGCAAGAGAAGGAAGCACGCTTGGGTTCATCACAGTGCCCACCCCCATCCAGTCAGCCATGGAGCATTCCTTGCGATATGACATGGGTTCTGAAAGTCACATAAAGGTCAGTTCATAAACCATGCCAGTCATGTCTTCATGTCCCTAAGAAGTCTCAACATCGCCTGTTAAGTGGGCTCTGCTCTTACCCACTATCTTAGTTAAGGTTACTATTGCTGTGATGAAGCATCACGAACAAAGCAAGGACAGCTTTATTTGGCTTATGGGGGAGAAAAGGGTTTATTTGGTTTATTCTTCCACATCACAGTTCATCATCAAAGGAAGTCAGGACAGGAACTCGAACAGGACAGGAACCTGGAGGCAGGAGCTGATGCAGAGGCCATGGAGGAGTACTGTTCACTGGCTTCCTCATCATGGCTTGCTCAGCCTGCTTTCTTATAGAACCCAGGACCACCAGCCGTGGGATGGCAGTGCCCACAATGGGCTGGACCCTCCCCCACAATAAATACTTAAGAAAGTGCCTTACAGCTGGATCTTATTTAGACATTTTCTCAATTGAGGTTCCCTTCTTTAAGATGACTCTAGCTTGTGTCAGGTTGACATAAAACTAGGCAGGGCACCTATTTATTTCAAGTAGCGTTTTCTTCTTCTTAGGCTCCTGGTTAATTTAATGAGCCGCTGCTATTTGTTTCTCCATGTTCCTTCTAGGAAAAAATCTGCCTAGTTAAGCATTCAGAAGACTTAGGACATTTCTTTGTCACGCTGCCTGAGTTCTTCCTCAATTGGAGAATGTTAACCTAGACGAGAATCAACATCCAAAGAGCCACTAACCAGCCAATCACATCATCATCCAACAGCAGTTCCTTTACAATCAGTCCCTTCCTGACTTCAATAAGCTAATTAGAATATAAACTTACGTTAAAGCTTCAGAGTAGTTATAATGAGGCGAGACTCCTAGAAACTTCTGGACTTCATCCATCACTGCCGCAGGGTCACTTCTTAGCTGCTGCCCGTCGATAATTAGCAGCTGAATTACCGAAGTAGTAATAAGGAGAAAAAAAAGACATGGATGTTGAAAGAACTTGTGGATACTGTATAATGACAAATTCATGTCCTTATTCAGGCACTGTCCTTGGGGATATGCACACATTGTTTGGAGATGCAATCATTTTCATTCTTAACTTGTAAATAAGTCATAGTAATTAGGCATTCTGATACTATCTGAGAAGTCAGGGGAATGACAGGGAAGCCACAACAGTAAGGGAGCGACAGTGTGCTTAGGAAAGTGACTGAGGTCCCAATACAAGGGCTGTATCACTCATGGTCACACCCATGATTACAGTACAGATGAAGCCTTCAATTAAGTCAGAATGCTGGCTCATGCCTCCAATCCCAGCACTCAGAGACCAAGTCAGAGAGGCTGTGAGCTTAAGGCCAGGAGTAGTGTGAGATCCTGCGTCTTAAACAGGAACAACAGTTACCTCCTTGCTCTGGCCCCACCTCTTAAACAGAAAGGTTATAATAAGCTTAAGTCTAAGGAGATAAGGGCCCATCACCTCCCAGTTCCATTCGGGAGCAGCATTTGAGACATACTTAGAACACCCATGAGGAAAGAGGCAAGATTTCCAGAGACCTGAATGTGGGCAGAATGATGCTCAAGAAGCGAATGGGGCCAGTTGTGGTGGCGCATGCCTTGAATCCTAACACTCGGGAGGCAGAGGCAGGCGGATCTCTGTGTTTGAGGTTGGCCTGGTCTACAGTGTGAATGAGTTCCAGGATGGCCAGGGTTACACAGAGAAACCCTGTTTCACAAAACAACAGCAACGAAGAAATGAAGTGGAAGGGTAGGAAGGCTTGGTGTTTAAGAATGAGTAGCACTCCTGTGGAACAGCAGGGGTCAGTTCCCGGAACACCCATAAGGTGCTTCACAGCCCCTTGAAGCTCCAGCTCCATGTGATCTGATGCCATTTTTTGGCCTCTGTGAGAACCCACACACATGTGATACACAGACACATATACATGATAAAAATAATATATATGAAAATAATCTTACAGGGGCCACACCTATAATACTGTCATCTGGAAGACTGAAGCAGGAGGACCTTTGTGGACATGAGGTCAGTCTGTGCTGTAGACCGAGACCCTGCTTCAAGATAACAAGTGGATAGTAACAACCAAACCAAAAGAAACCCGGGGCAAGAATTTGTTTCTCTGGTGAGTGGTGAAAGATAACCCAGTCAGACAAAGTGGCATAGGCCATGATGGAAGCCAGAGACCTTGTCACACGACCTTGTCGAAGCCCCCCTTCCAGCATTTTTTGTTCTCTACACTGGATATTCAAGAGAACTCACCATGGTATGGACAGACTGCTACGTCTAAGTTACTCAGCTTGCACACATACCTAATGAAAATGAGCCGAGGTTTTGGTTTTATTTAACTGTGATGTTTAATTAGCTGTAAGTTGTTACAGTCATCAGAGTGGACACATGGCTTTAGATCCACAGGACTCAGGTCTGATGTCCCTGGGCTGCTTGAGCTATCCAGGGTAGGGACACTGGGTGATCGTGGGAGGTGACGCCAAGTTAAAGAGAAAAAGCAAGGCATGGGAGGAACGGAATCTATGATGACTTCGGCTAGTGTTTCAGAAGAGAAATCGTGGCACTTCGTTAACCAAAACGGTGTCTGTCTGGTTTGGGGATGGTGTCCCCTTTCACTAGGTTTTCTTCATGTCAGAACAGGATCTGGTGAGCGGAAGCTTTTCCAGTTCTGAAGCCAGAGATGGCATGCTAATGCCAAGAAACGAATACGAGTAGGGAGAATTAGCCTGTGATACTCTTAGAACATTAACCCATTTTTTGATTTCTGCCTATTATCTTCTCTACCAGTGTCGTTATTTGCAACTAAAGGATGAACCCTAGCAACGTTTTACCTGTGTCTCAGGTAAACAATGAGATGGCTACATGCCGTAGATCCTGGTTGCTTCATACCTGAAAGGGAGGGAAATAAACAAGCCATCTCTCGATGTGGTTGGCGTACCACCCAGGGACCAAGCATCTCTTCTGCAGAGTTCGAAGTTCCCAGGGTGCATGGGGGCCAGCAGAGATCACTTCATAGAAGCTAAACTTCAGAGCTGTGGGGTCTTCATGGGACCGCTGATGCTGCGGTGAGAAGGTGGATAATTCAATTAACTTGAACTATAGGCATAAATAATTAAAACTCACTCCACAAATTTCAAAGCTTAAGGAAAGAATGCTACCCTACTGGAGAGTTATTTGTTTTGAAATTAATGAAAGATGAAATTGTGCTTGGTTTAAACTTAGGACACTGGTGAGGTCGTACTTTTTGGGAATTTACATAGAATTATTATTGATAGTGTTTCTTGACCAATATTACCAAGTTTTCCCTCAACCTATACATTTTATTCTGGATGCAAACTTTCAAAACCTGTGTTCATGTTCCTTTGCCAGTCCATAATCGAACCAATCATCATGTTCAATAAATATCTCTATTAAGAAAGCACTCTGCTAATCCTACTCTTAAGGTAGGTTTTGATTAGAAAGCCCCTACTGGTTACTTTAAACGCAGGGACTAATACAAACTCTCGGATACATATTATGTGGGATCTACAGATTCTACCACACATTACCTAGCGTCTAAAAGTCAAGGTTATTTTATCTAATGGCAACCTCTGCGGTGAACCAGAATAAGAAAATGTAGAAAGCAGCAATTGAAATATGAAAATGTTTCCTAATGGCTCCATCTCAGGCCTATGGGCTCAGGAGATTCACGGTCTCCTTAAATTGATCAATAAGCACTCAGGCGCAGTGGCCAGTCTGTGGTTGTTCACCACATCCAGTTGAATAGCAAATTTGCTGCGACTGGAATATTGGTTACTGCACTGCAGGCTCCGGCAGCCTCTGTTCATCCACCGTGGAGTGATTTATTTGCAATATTTATGAAGTTTTGTTGGTTCAAGCCTTTTAGCCTTTGCCTGTGTGTGTATTCCCAATTTTCAGGGGCTAAGCGGTTGCCAATTCTCTGCTTTCTTTTTGGGCCACTCAAGCTGCATTGCTTTCTTTTGCCCAGATACTTTTTGGAAAAACTAGGTGGCAGAAAACGAAATTGCCAGCTTGCAAATTTACGTATAATTTGACTTGAGAGATGTCTCTGGATTTGTAATGAAAAATTGATGCGAGGCTGTGGATTTCTGTGATCCTGTCTTTCCAGGATGGCTCCACGCCCTCTTGTGTAGATGACCTCTATTGTTGCCTCTCTAAGGCTATCCCTTCCTGTGACTCTGCCCCCAGTTCCTGTCACTGAACCATCTCACAGTGTGCCCTTCCACGCGTGAGTCAGGAGTAACTGTTTCTGCTGACTAGAAAAGGGTGCAGTGCTTTGCTACACTTTCTTCTCCAATAGCACAGCTGTCAAGAAGTTAGCTACCAGGGCCAGTAGAGATGGCTCAGTGGTCAGGAGAGAGGACTTTTATGAGGGAGGACCCAAGTTCATTTCTCAGTGCCCATGCTGGCCAACTCACAGCCACTTGTAAATCCGGTTCCAAGGCATCCAATACCCTCTTTTGGCCTCTTTGGGCACCTGTACTTACATCATGCACACACACACACACACACACACACACACACACACACACACACACAGAGTTTAAAATAAATCTTAAAAGTGAAGGAAATTAGGTATCTCAAATCACACCAATGACATGTTGTATAACACCTATTTATGCTGGAGGCTCTGGATTTTGTGGGCCACTTAGATCACAGGGAATTCAACCCACCTGCAGAAGCTCAGATAATAAGTTTTTGTAAACACAACTTCCTACATTTATCTTAACATTACAGCATCCTAGGAAATAGACCTCTGTTTCTGCCTCTGTTTCTGCCCTGCCCTGCTGATGCCCCCTTTACATATAGCGCCATTTGTACTATCAAAATACTCCATTGGAATTTTTACCTCTTTTGCTACTACAAATCCTAAACCAGCAGCCTATAATACACAACCCCAGAGGACCTAGACAACAATGAGGACCCTAAGAGAGACATACATGGATCTAATTTACATGGGAAGTAGAAAAAGACAAGATGTCCTGAGTAAACTGGAGCATGGGGACCATGGGAGAGGGTAGAAGGTGAGGGGAGAGGAAGGAGAGGAAGGGAAGGCAATGGAGAAAAATATGTAACTGAATAAAAACAATAACCCCCCCAATCCTTTCTTACTTTAAAGATTACCCAACGATACTTCTAATGCTCCAACTCTGCTAATAAATTTAACTTAGTTTTAAGCTGGGCTTTATCACTGCACGAGTCTATGCATTATTTCTGTCTTTCTAGTTTTTGTGTTCATTTACACATGCTGTTTCTCCAGTTGTCCAAAAGCAGTGTTAACATCTACTAAGTCAAATCACTTTTAAAACAATAATTTGCGAAGATCATTGCCATTCTTTGACGCCTAGATGAACATATAAACACTAGGAAAGCACTTAAAAATTATCACCTATGCATGATTAGTGCAAGCTTCTCATCCCAGCACTTGCGGGGAAGATGGGAGGAAGAGGAAGAGCTAACTCCTCCTCTGCTACCTAGCAAACTCCAGGCCAGCTGGGCAGCATGAGTCTCTGTCTTAAAAAATGAAACCAAACAAAATTACAGAACCAAGAAAGGTTAACTAAAAATTCATAGAGATTAAAAACATAAAAACCCCTCAATTTTGTCATATGTGTACGTTTAACTTTGTTCACTTTTTATTAGGTGATTAAAATATTGTTGGGCATTATAAAGACTCACCAAGAGTGCATTACATTACTTCAAAGTGACTCTTTGCTAAGTTCTAACAAACATCAGGGACAAAAGGACAATAAGCACCTAGAAGATGGCATGTGGCTGTTTAGAGAGGCTGGGCTCTCAGGGACCGAGGACTCTGAGGATGTTTTGTCACCCCTTTTCCAGTAGGAGTCACTTGAGAGTCTTTGGAGAGGGATCAGCAGTGTCCCTGAACACCGCCATGTTCACTCTCTGCACCCTGAACTGGGGACAGCAGCATCCCTGAACACTGCCATGTTCCGTCCTCTGCACCCTGAGCTGGGGTCAGCAGTGTCCCTGAACACCGCCATGTTCACTCTCTGCACCCTGAGCTGGGGTCAGCAGTGTCCCTGAACACCGCCATGTTCACTCTCTACACCCTGAGCTGGGGACAGCAGCATCACTGAACAACGCCATGTTCACTCTCTGCACATCCTCTATTGTTGCTTTTGAAACACAATGGTAGAGTTGCCAAAGAGCCCTTACAACCTATAAAACCTGGATAAAAACATCATCTAGCACTTTTAAATTTAGGCACATGTCTGAAAAAAATGATTTTAAACTATGACATTTACTTTAAAATGCATATGTATAAACATGCACAAGTATACACAAAACATAATATTTTGTTATATTTTTTCAACTGCAATTCATTGCACTAATACATTTTATTAAGTAAAGTTATTATATTAAAGAAAATTGAAAAAAAAAATCTGAGAGTCCTTGTTTCTTCTGGAAAACCAAAAGTAAAGCATCAACTTGGCTGCATACATCAGTTAACTAGTAGGTCTTCTTGTCTATTCAAATCCGAGATGTTGGGGCTGGGGAAACAGATAAGCAGGCAAAAGGCCTGCTCTCCAGATGTGAGGATCTGCCTTTTATTTTCAGAACTCATACACAAAGCCAGATGTGATGGTATGTGCTTGGGAGCCACAGACAGGAAGAGTCCTGGCTCTCAATGGCCAGTCTATATGGCCTAACCAATGAGTTTCAGCTCTCATTAAAAGACCCCATCTCAAAAGTAAGGTGCAAAGTGGATAGCTCCTGAGAAATAACATCTGTGGCTGACCTCTGGCATGTATACATGCACAAACGCATGCACACACACACGCACGCACACACACAGCTGCATGGGTAACCACACGCACAGATGCCCCCATTCAAAGATCTGCCCTCCAAACGGAGGTAACAGTTTTCCACTGTGCATGCTCTTCTCTCAGTCGGGCACATCTTTTCCTTACCTGGTACCAGGAGTATGCTCGGTCCGATGGGTCAATGAGTATGGTGATGATCTTGGCTTTGGGGACTAGAGAAGCGACCCTTTTAGGAGCTTCCTCTGAATGGAAGTAATTGGCACTCTTCTCAAACAGAAAGTCACTGGTGACGTTAGACGGGACTGGGAAGAAATCCATGTACCTAGGAAGGAGTATCTTTCTTCAAAACAAGCCTCTCACGTTTATACGCTGCTGACTGAAGACGTTAAAGGCGGCCAACAAGTTCATCTCTCCCCTAAAACACTGACACCCACGCTTTGTAGCTGTCCCTCCAGGTGGCAAAGGAAACACATTCAAAGCACTAGCAATGTTCTCCTACACAATACTTTTTGTTTTGCTTAACTTCAGAAAAAAAAAAATGTTATGGGGGAACAAAGATAGAGGAACAAAGCGATCAAACTGTAGCTCCTGGGCAACATGCATGGAAACAAACCAGCACAGAGACCCCGAGCCAAAGAGGGTGTGATAAAGCAGAGGGTGCATTTAGTTAAGACATTCAAAAGAATTCATACAAGACAGTCTTTGTTATCACAGTAAGCACATGTCACTCCACACCACTGAGTCTGGCTAATATGTTTAATCACGAGATATCAGAGCACAGATTATGGCTGCTGTAAATACCGCCCATTTCTCCCCTTTTAAAATATATTACCTTGTCTCTCTTTGGAAGTTAGTACAAAATCTTATCAATATTTCCTGCATATGAGAAGTGAAATGGTCAGGAGTGTGAACTCAGCAACGTCTGCTGGCCCAAGCATAGAGATATAGACATCTGCTTAATGTTCCGTTGGTGCAAGCATGGTCAGCATAATTACACCACCTCAGGGTAGTTCGTATTTCTACAGCAGTAAGGGCTTTTGTTTAAAATGGAATCTCTAGGACCTACATTTTACAATAATGGCCTCGCTCCGCCCTCTCCTCCCTTTAACTTGCAAGTCACCGCGCCTTCAGGATGCGGGTAGCTCAGTAATTACCGAGCAAGAGTCATCATCAACATTCACACGATGGCCTTAGTCTCCAGTGTGGTTCACGTCACCCCAAAGGCCACGTGACTCTTTCTCAGACCAGTGACACTGTCTTTTAACCTGGTTGCGATTCTGCTAGGATTCCAGCTGTTATCCCAAAGCAAAGTGTAACTGAGGTAACAGAAGTCTAGACACCTAGAGCAACAAAATCTTGCTGTGTGTTCCATGAACGACCCTTTCTGTGCCAGCCATTTGGCTCCCTTTCGAAGGAGAAGAGGTATGAAGACATTTGAGGAGCATGCGATCTGCTTTCTCTTGTGGTGTACAATGTATTTATAGAAGTGCCACATTTTGGCTTTCTTTTTTAGATGCTTACGCTGCTACTAAGGGCTGGGATTCTCATGGGTGTCTGACCCTATTTGCTACAAGCTTATCTCAAACCTGCTTCTTCTGAAAAAGCGTCCAAAAATAATGAATAAAATGGACAGAGGGGCTGACATTTGATGGCTTTTAACAATGAAAGACATCCTACTTTCTCATCTGTCTCTTATGCCTGTGACAATTCGGGCTTTGAAAAGCCCTGCAGGTCGTCCTGGCTGTTGGAGCTATGCTGTTGATCTTCCCTAGTCTCAGAGGTTCGCACAGAAACTGGATCCATTTTATATGCCCGCACTGTCTCATTCTCTAGGAGTTCAAAGGAGCAGACCCTTGAGAAACACTTGATTAGTGAACTAGCAAATACAAGACCTTCTGGTCCACATTTCCGGAGTGGGACCTGGAGTTTCTCTAGTAGGATCACTCTTGGAGACTAAATATTCAGGACACCCAAATGATTGGCAAACCAATTACAGTGACTTCATGGTTACATATAAATGCAGGGCCCGCAAGCTTTCAGACTTCTGAAAAGAGTAAGACTTCTGCATCAAAAAAAGAGAACTCAGAAGATGTACTTCTTGTAGCATTGTATATTTATTTGTGATTTACACTAACACTGAATGTCTTCTTAACTTTTTTGTGTCTGCATGTGATGCGTGTATACACACACACACATACGCGCATGTGTGTGTGTGCGTGTCTGTGCTTTTCTCTGCATGCATATGTTGGGTGCTTTCTCTGTTATTCTCCACCTTGATTTTTTTCGAGACAGGCTCCTTCACAGAAACTGTAGCAGGCTATTAAGCTAGACTACTGACCAGCAAGCTTTTGGGATCTCTTCTCTTTCCATCCCTAGCAAATACTTTTCATATTGAGACATCTTTTCCTTGATCTGATCCTAAGAATTTTCAACTGATTGTACTCAAAGACAGGCTGTAGCTGGTTCCAAATGCTAACAGGGCTCTACGGCTGTCCACACACCCAATCTATCTTGTCACTAACCCTTATACATTAGAAATAATTTAAATAATAAGGCATAAAACTTACATGTATGAGTAAGTCAATATTTCCCTGAGACCTTCTCACTGCAGATTTTGGCAATTTCATCAAAGATGAAATTTTAAAATTTTCATTTGGCCCATTTGTTTATACCTTATTTTATATACTTTGTCTACCTGTCAATTAAGAAGTCCTAGCTTTACCCGGATCTTAGAACAAAAGCAGTTTTGCACTAGATTGATTGTGTATAAGCAAATTGTTAGAATGGTTCCAGAACGCCGAGGCACATAATTTTCAGCCCTGTGGAATCAACCCCCCCAGATCACAGTTGATGAGGTGATACCTCACAGGGAACCCAGGCGCTGTGCCTGGGAACACACCTGATACTGTTGGGAGCAAAGCTGTAATTATAGCTATAAAATGACACTTGCAGTTACCATTATCTATTATTTGCATAAATTGCCTTTTATAATCTGTAATTTGTCAATCAAAAGCATTTGGGGAACTTTTGGAGAGAGCTGTATTTAGATCGATGATGCCTTCTTCATTTATTTACTTATGTTTTGCAGTGTTGGGTATTGACTCCAGGTCCTGCATGTACCAGGCAACACTTACTACCGAGCTACACCCTTGCCCCTAGAGAGTTATATTTAGTTATTTGTGTCATTTTCTTGTAAAATGTTTGAAGAATTTTTAATTTTTATTACAGTTTGACACACATTATTAGCTTATGATCAAAAAGATTTTCTCTGAAATAATTTATGACAAAATTGATTATTCTAAAGTTCCAGTAACACCAAGGGTTTTACTAGTATTTACTCTTAAAGTTTTTTTTTTTTGCCCTAATTTTGTGCCAGTGCCAATGTTCCACTAGTCTGTTTGATAGAGTGGTTACAGAGGCTGAAGTAGTTGTTAGTTTATTTAACACTACAAATTAGTTAATATCCAACACAGTGTGGAAGAATGGGCCATGAACTACAGGACAATTAGGAAGCTGCTTCTGTAGATTCTCAAACGATACTCACCTCATTAGTTTTCTACAGATTATTCACAAGGACCTCTTGCAATAGCTGGTCCTTAGGAAACTGAGATCATGTACCAGACCATGCAATCATGACCACAGAGGCTCATGACTACTCTACAGTGAATGTGGGAAGGTTATGTCTATGCTCTGGGAGCATGCACTGCTTCCCATGATGCTCAGCATTTGACATCGGTAGAAAACACTTCAAACACGTCTTAGGATCAACATGCTATTTTGGTTCATCCATTTTTAACATTTTTATAGCTTGTCTATATTTAAGTTACTTCTAATTTTAATCATTTTCTTCAGATACTTAACACGTTTTAATTTTAACTTGAAGACAAAAAATTTTTTATTTATACCTTCAAAATTTAGTTTACAGCTTTCATTATTCATAAAATATACATACATTTCTACTTTTAGCTCCTTTTTTGCCCTTTTCCTTAAAACATTACAGGAAATGACATATTCTGATCACAGCATCACTTCATGAAAGGTGCACTAGGGTAGAGTGACATTCCTGGGATGTACCCTATTTCTATGAATGCACATCTGCACTCCCCTTCAAAGACAGTTAACGCCAACTGATACATGGGTCTTCTGAGGCAAGCAGCCCTCCCATTAACTGGCAAGTCTTTCTGAGAATAACTTTTGTGCTTCTTTATGCTGGTCAACCAGTTTCTAAGAGGTGTAGCATGAATTTTATCTGTGGTCACAAACTTCTCTGAGGTTTCTAAATATTAGCACCAAGTTTATACTGTGCACGGTACATATACTTTTAGATTTATACTAGTAACCCATCTTACCAATCAATCCCCCTGTGGTAGTTATTTCTATTAAAGAACTGTACCTCCTCAAAGGATTTTGGGCTGGGGGAGTTACTAAGGATGGAAGGATGCATAATCAGGAACAGACACAAGGCAGTGGTACCTGAAATGACAGCAGGGGTTAGAAATCAGTGAGTGCAGAAGACAGTTTCTCACCTTTAGTATTCCAGTCACTAATAAACTGATTATTGTAACCATCCAGGCAGATTCTCTCAGTGGACTTCTCGGCAAACCGACAGACCACCAGCAGCTAATGGGAGGCACGTTCTTACCAATGGAGAAAAAAACTTATGGGTGGGGAGTCCCTGCGCCAACGCTGGGAAAATGGCTTTTAATGTCGGCTAAGTCACTGCTTTGATCTGCAAACTTCGGCTGTTAGCTTTTCTTTGTTGCTGTGTTTTCAAAGGGGAAAAAAAAATCATCTCTTCATCTATTCCACAGATTTTCTCGGATGCTAAATGTCACCCTATATGTTCTGCATGCATGCTGTGGTTGTTTAGCTTGGGGTGTCTGTGGGACTCCTAACTGCAGGAATGGGAGTGTCCCTGACTCCTTGATCTGCTTTTCGGACCCTTTTCTCCCACTGGGTTGCCTCATGCAGTCTTGATATGAGGGTTTGTGCCTAGACTTAGTGCATCTTGCTATGGCATGTTCGGTTGATACCGCTGGGAGGTCTGCTGTTTTCTGAAGGGAAATGGAGGATCAGGAGATCTGGGGGAGAGGAGAGGTAGGCGGGGGACTGGGTGGAGTGGAGGAGAGGAACTTGTGATTGGGATGTAGTATATGAGAGAAAAATAAACAAGAAGAGAAAAAAGGAAAAAGACATTCTATAACTCAAGATTTTTTTAAATTAAAAATGTAAGTGAACTGTATCATTATTTAATATATTTCATTGCTCAAACTGATACTTGTTTGATATAATGTTTGATATAATATAAACATTGATAGAATGTTTTCCCTGAGGTCTGTAAAAGCTAATTAAGAATTTAATCTTTTAACACGTGTACCTACACACAACAAATGCTCAAAAATCATTTGAATTGCTAAAATTTGAAAAGAAGTGGTGTTTTCTTTTGTGCCATTAAAACAAAATTTACATTTATTGGAAACAGAATGGCGCATCAGAGGTACTCACACAGTTTGGGAGTGACGGTGACACTTTTGAAGGTGTAAGGTTAGGGCTGTTTTCACTTACGTCAGGAGGTAAAGTATGTAGCTCAGGTTACTCAAGGAGGAAGGAAGGCAGTTTGGGATCAGTTCGCACAAGATTTAGAGTCACTAGCCACTATGACTGGGTTTGTGAGAGCACCATCTAAGTTATCTCTTGTCTATACATTCAGTACTCCTAGGATACAAAGGTCCCCTGTAGTTTTATCTCGTGTGATCTAACTGGTGTGATCTAATGGAACGTGCTCCATCAGGTCAAAAGACAGCATGAGAAATCTCACTTGTAGAAGTCACCATTCTAATTTTCCAGTAATAATGTCATGCCACCATTTGTACAAAATTGACATTTTCTTATTTCTTAAAGTTTTCTTTAAAATTGCACTTCAATATACAGTATCTTTACAGTATGAAAATAGCTAAAATATCTGTCAACTACAGGACTGTCTGAATAACGAATTAAAAGAGGCACTGTACCAGGGTTATATAACTAAGCTGAACAGTGAGCAGTTTGCCCACAGACAAGCAGACTGTGTGGGGTGAAATGCAGGGACCTGTGCTAGACAAGGCCAGTGGTCTTCAGCACCTCGACTCAGCACCGATCCTCAGACTCTGGCTGTAAGCCGAGTCTGGCTCACACAGGCATCTGTACCCATCTCAGGGTTTCTGACTCAGTAGGTCTAAGGTGTGGCTCAGGAATTTCTCTTCTGTGAAGCCCTGCGTTATCTATGCTGCTGCTCTGGTGACTGTCTTCTTCTTCTTCTTCTTTTTTATTTAAATTAAAGAACAAGGAGAAAAGTGACGCTAAGTGGTATGGGCGTATCCCAGCAGAAAGTCACAGTGAGAGAGGAGAGTCGGGAAAACTCTAGGACCAAGCATTTTATTGCATTTTCAGCATCACTAGCTATGTGAATGCTGGGACTTAACTTCCTAATCTGTCCATTAGGAGAGAAAAGGCTCACTGTCAGGGTCCCATCAAGCTTCTGATGTTATGCTATGTGGAAATAGTCCCCAAACAGAGCCGTGTAACATCTGCCTAATTCAGAATTTAGAATGGGTTAACTTTATTGGATGATGTAAATGACAACTCCCCCCAAAACTTGGAAAATTAATTTCCACAAAACTATCATTTTTCTATAACGATTTCATGCCAAAGGCAAAAGCCATATCTACATAGCAGCATAAACGTCCTTTTAAAACTCAGCAGGGTTTAGGGTACCGTGTGACACTTCTGCTGCCACTTGACATCAGTTAAAGTGTCTGCATCCAGTGTGGTAGGAGAAGCAATAGATCCTGCAGGGCTCTGATGCAAGCTGGCTCTGCCAAGATCCAGACAGAAGTGAGCAGTAATGACGGGGTTATGTGCCGACCGAGCGAGGCCACTGAGGTCATTTCCAATGTTTTCCCAAGCATCCTTAGACTTTGAGTAAATAAGGACAAGGGAACACACAAGAGGAGGGATGCCTGCCATTCTCACGCGCACTCTCTGACTATTTGCAAATGCCATTAAAAACAATGACGTGTCCAAGTCTGCTGATCTCGCACAGAATTCAAAGTCATCCTCAGAGACGGGGACAGGGACTGCCACACAAGGCGGTTTTCCTGGCTGTTTGCTATGAAGACAGAATCCCAGGGCCCCCGAGTCATTTATCACGCAGGATGCAGCTCAGATGTTTGGCATTAAAACTTCCACTGGGCTTCACCGGAATCGCCAGTTTCACAGAAACAAGAAGTTTATGGGGGAACAAACTGCATGCCAGTTTAAGAAGGTGTGCAGTCGATTCCTCCTGGGTTTGAATAAACAGCTTGGTAGTGGAAAGTTTTGTTTATGTCTAGTAATTCTGCTTGTCAAAGAGTTTTTTTTTGGATCGTAAAAAAGAAGTTATCTCTGCCAGAATGTAAACTGTATCTGAAAAGTCAAGACCTTTTTTTTTTCCCCCCAGAAAAGATTTCTTATAAAGATCCAGGTTACTTACATATGTCTCTCCCTTGGCATTTGAGCAAATCCTGTCACTCACTTTCAAAACCAAAATTAGTTTTAATTTTAGAAATGTTAACTACACTTCTGGAGTAAGAGCCTTGGGAAAAAAAAAAAAATAAGACGTGCCAGCACACAGAGTGCTGTCTTTCAGATGACATCCATGTCCCGCCCACCCCCAACCTTAAACAGCCTGACAAAGCCTTCGTATGGTACCCAGCTGAACAAGATGGCGTTGGAGTATGCTGGACTGTATGCTGTCGCTTCAGCACCTTACAGGAGGCTCAAGGTCTTGCTGCAACGAGGACTAATTGACTAGCTGTTTTACTTTCTTTGCTAGTAATATTAAAAGTTCTTACCAGTTTTCTGGGGTCCGATTACCAAGAATTTTGGTAAACGATCGCAGGTTTTTTCTTTAGACCAAATGTCTCTGTGGCGTTTGTCATCACAGGGGTTCTGTATGGGAGAGGAATATAGAGATGTTATGTGAGATGTTATGAGTGTGTGTGTGTGTGTGCACGCGCGCGCACCCATTTTTGAGCTAGAGTCTCCGATCTTCATTTTGAGATACCCAAGGAGGCAACATGATAGGCTAGAGGTCTCTTTCAGAAACTGAAAGCTAGGAGGTGGCCTCGGTGAAGCTCTTGATTTCTTTCAGTTCTTCGGTTGAGAGTGAGAGAGTGGGCCAGGGAGAGGTAGATAGGCAAGTGCCCAGTAGATCATGTTTTCCTGCTCCTGGCACTTCTACAGTTAACCCCTCCCCTTCAATACGTGAGCCTGTTGGGAATACACTATTCTTTCTGTTAGTCTACAGCATTTGGTTCTCAACCTGTGGGTCACAACCCCTTTGGCAAACCTCTATATTACACTTTGTAACAGTAGCAAAATTACAGTTAGGACACAATAACATAAATAATTTTATGGCTGGGGTCACCACACATGAGGAACTGAATTAAAGGTCACAGCATGAGGAAGGCTGAGAACCACAGCCTAAAGGGAGATACACTCTCAAGCATTCACTAAAGCGCGCTACTTAAGGTTCCCTTGGACCTTATTATTATTTTGTTCAAAGTAACTGAATCAGTCAATTCCTTCCAGCTACCTTCAAAATTTGGTAAACACACATCTAAAGATGGAACTTTACTGACTGTGATGCTGAAAGTCCCCAATTTTAGCACAAGTGTAAAATGAAGGTGAACTGTTATATTATACAGGTTACCTTTTGACAGACTGTGTATTTGTATCTAGAACATACTTTCTGCTAAGATACAGTATGCACATTAATGTAGGGGTAAAGACTACAGCATTCTTTAGTACTATCTCATGAATGAGCAGGCAAGGTCACTCTTTCCTTCTGGTCAGCTAACACTATAGATCTGTGAAGTTAAACAGACTTGTTTATAGGAAGCAAAGACAAGAGTGATGGATTTCCTTTAGTTACAGCTCTGTACAACAGTTGGCTTTAAACCACTCCCTCATAAGGTATGTGATTCCAGCTTAAAGATTAGGGTGAACCCACTGGGGAAGCTGGATGTGTTTCAACTAGCTAGCACTTGGTGATTTGTCATGGGTAAGAAGAAAGGATGCTTGTGACACCAACAAAAACGAATACAGCCTATCAGCACCGAGCTTCCTCCAGAGAACTGCTAATGTGGACGGGTATCTACAGACTGTGTGTGTGTGTGTGTGTGTGTGTGTGTGTGTGTATGTGTGTGTGTGTAAGGCTGACTAGATGGCCAACTGCTAACACACTACTTGTTTATCATTTTCTGTTTCCAACATATGGCAGTCTGAACATTGACTTCTCATTCATGCTTGAAAACATCGCTGCCTACAGAATCCTCCACTCAATAGTCTATACTTTCAGATGGGGAAAGGTTAGCAATAATATAGGCCTACCATTCAGCAGGAAGCAGTTTCTCAGGCCTCAGTGTTTCCCAAATGCACAGTTGTAACTCAGATACTCTGTGTTCTCACATTTGGATAACATCACACAACAACAAACAGTTTGTGGGAATAACTATTTATATCAATTATTGATTGGATTTTACCTGCCAGAGAGGGTCTTTCTGATCAGGAAAGAGCTCAAAATACTTGTGAGCCAGCTGAGCTGGAGGCAGGGTGTGAAGACGCAGGTTGGTCCAGGTCTGCACAAAGTTGGCTAGATTGACAAATGTATATAATCCCAGTCGATCATTTCCATAGTTTGACAAATGGGTCATGAAAATACTGATCTGAAAAAGGTAAATAAACTTTGGCATAAACATGGACTATTTTAACATTAGAGGGCAGTATGATCATACCAACACTAGATTTAGCTTTTTGAATTAAATGGTCTGTATAAGGATTTTCAATCAAGACCTAAGAAAAAGTCACCTTGATATCCAACATGATACACGGAAACGCAGTCCGCACAACATAAGATGAAGCATCAGTATCTTGTACTTCACAGGGCAGAGTCTCCAGGCTTTCACAAATAAAGTTCTGAACGTGATTATTCAGTTGTGTTCTCGCCCCTCTGCCTGAACAGATCTTAGAACTTTTGAAACACTTGGAGGGAGACTTTTAACTAGTGCCCAGCTTGTCAGCGCAGCCACAGCTCTCTTATGAGTGACACCATTTGTATTATTTTCACTCTTAAAACTGAAACCTTAAAAATTATCCTTCTGGCTCTCTCTCTTTCTTTCAAACAATCTTTTCTCATTTTATATACTATCCCAGTTCCCACTTCCTCCCCTCCTCTCCTCTCACTCCCCACCTTCCTCCCACCCATCCCACCCCCATCCATTCCTCAGATAGGGTGAGGCCTCCCATGGGGAGTCAACAGAGTCTGGCACATCACTTTGAGGCAGGACCAAGGCCCTCCCTGCTATATTTAGACTGAGCAAGGTATAGCAAGAACCTAGAAACAACCTAGATAGCCCTCAATTGAAGAATGGATAAAGAAAATGTGGTTTATTTACACAATGGAGTACTACTCAATGATTTTAAAAGAATGACATCTTGAAATTTGCAGGCAAATGGATGGAACTAGAAAAAACCATCCTGAGTGAGGTAACCCAGACCCAGAAAGACAAACACAATATGTACTCACTCATAAGTGGATATTAGATGTAAAGCAAAGGATAACCAGTGTATGACCCCAGAGAAGCTAGGTAACAAGGAGAACCCCAAGACAGACATACATGGATCCCCCAGGAAGGGGAAATAAGCAATTTTCTCTGAGAAAATTGGGAGCATGGGGTGGGGAGTAGAAAGGGAGTGGAAGGGGAGAAAGGGAGGGGGAAGAAGAACATAAGGAAATCAGATGGCTGAGGTGGGGGAAGGACAGAGAGGGAGAGTAAGGAAAGAAATATTTTAATTGAGAGAGCTATTACGGGGCTAGCAAGAAACCTGGCAACAGAGAAATTCCTAGGAATCCACAAGGATGACCCCAGCTAAGACCCTAAGCAATAGTGGAGAGGGTACCTGAACTGGCCTTACCCTGTGATCAGACTGATGACTACCTTAAATGTCATCATAGAACCTTCGTCTAGCAACTGATGGGAGCAGATGCAGAGATCTACAGCTAAGCACTAGGCCAAGTTCCCAAAGTTCAGTTGGAGAGAGGGAGGAACAATAATATGAGCAAAGGGGTCAAGACCATGATGGAGAAACCCACAGAAACATCTGACCTGAGCTAGTGGGAACTCAGACTGACGGCAGGGGAACTTGCACAGGACCAAACTACGCCCTCTGAATAGGGGTGACAATTGTATGGCTGGGGCAGACTGTGGGGCCAGTGGCAGTGGGACAAGGATTTATTCCTAGTGTATGAACTGGTTTTTGGAGCCTATTCTCTTTGGAGGAATACCCTGGTTACTTTTCTTAAAACAGCATCAGGTCTGTGGCAATTCTCCCTCTTGTTGAGTCAGGTCCCACTACATAGCCCAGACTGGCCCCAAACCAACAGTGTGCCTCAGGGTGTTAACATTAGAGTCATGTACTACTGGCCACCTATTATGATTCTGGTTATCCCTTCTATTATAATTCTGGTTGTCCTTACCCTATGCTTTGTGTGTGTGCACAGAGATTCATGTGTACAACTGGAGGTCAGAAGTCAACCTTATGTATTGTTCCTCAGATGCTGTCTGCCCCCCCCCTTCTTTTTTACTTGACTGGAATTTCCCCAATAGGAAAGTTAGTTAGCTAGTGAGCCTTGGGTCTCTATCTTCCCAACATTTGGAGTACAAGCATGTGCTAGGCTTCTTGTACGTGGATCTGGTTATTAAACTCAGGTCTGCATGTAAATACATGGATTAAAGATGTATATTAAACTGAGGTAGTTACTAGTTATAGTTTTTGCTTTATTTTTACAGAAGAGATAGTTACGAGTCATACCTCCCTGAGCAGTGTCTGCATCTTATAGAAAGTGAGGAACACAAATGCTGGAGTACGATGCTGTGATACTGACGCAAGCCTGTTCGCTATTCAGTCACTGAACAACAGTTTGTATGTGATGGTGCAGGGTATCTACCTGTTTACCTTTGCAACTATGGAAAGCAAAATGGCACAATATTGATAAAGTCAGCCTATCCAAAATAAGTTACAAGTTAGTTGTTGATGTTGCTTTGCTGAAAGTGAAGCACATTTGTAAGAAATGAGGCAATATTTATAAAGTATTTAACTTAGCTCCTGTCTTAGTTAAGGTTTTTTTATTTCTGTGAGAAAACACCATGACAAAAAGGAAGTTAGAGACAAAAGGGTTTCTTTCATCTCTTACAACTCTCAGGTCACACCCCATCGCTGAGAGAAGTCAGGGCAGGAGCTCAAGGCAAGAATGAAGCAGAAGGCCTGAGGGATGCTACTAATTTGTCTGCTTCCCTGGCTTTCTTGACTTGCTTTCCTATATACCCTGGACCACCTTCCCAGAGGTGGCACCACCCACAGTGAACTTGGCTTTCTTTCCCACATCAATCACTGATCAAGAAAATGTTCCACAAAGCTGCCTACAGGCAATCTGATGGTCACATTTTTCCTCAATGGTTCTTCTCTCTAGCTTGTGTTAAGTCGACAGAACCAGAACAATCAAACCAAACCAAACCAAACCAAGCCACCACCAGGAAGGATATTCCGTAAGAGAAAAGCTCCTTAGTCTGTAAGTACAGCACAGCGCCTAGGGTTTCAGCTCCATTTTTGTGTGCCCCCCTAACATAATATAGAGGACAACACAAGCAAAGCGAGGCATGCCGCCTCTTGACCCTTTGAGATTTTGGACTCCAGCCTGGAATTTGTTTTGTGCTCTTAAAGAAATAGAAGGCAAAACGGGGAGAGGGGGATGCAATTCTTCAGGATATAAAACACTTCAATTTCTTTTAAAAGTATTTTTTAATGAATCATAATTTCCTCTCAGATATTGATATTGTGCATCTTTTGCTAAACAAGCTACCTATCCAAATTTTCTTTACAAAAAATTTGTATTTTAGTTACAAGGCATATGCAACAAGCAATAGGATTGGTGAGAGCAAATAGACAAAGAGAATATATTTGTTCAGAAAGTTAGCTGTTGCCCCTGGCTGCCTTTCAGAGGTGGAAGGTAAGCCCTTATTGCTGAAGATACCACTTTCTTCAGACATAGGACTTGGAGAATCCTAACAGGACCAGACCTGAAAGCCTCCTCCCTGAGGATTAGCTTTCATGGTTCATGTGCCATTCAAGCCTCCCAGGGAGTGAAGCAACCGGTAATCCTACCAAGCTATGGTGCTTATGAGCTTCAAAAACTATTAGTATGACACACTAACCCTAAAAGTGCAATAGAGGCACTCATGTCTTACTGGTAACTAGCAACTCTCTAACTGGACTTAAGGAAAACCCAGTAGGGGAGGAATCATGCCCAACACTGGAAATCATCAAACTGCCTCTGTCTAGTGAGGTAATGGATCTTTGAGGAGAACCGACAACCATCACTTTACTAAAGCAGAATAATCTTTAACTGCATTCTAAATATTTACCCTCATACCTACATGAAATTGTAGCTCTCACCCACCCCATCAAAAAAATTTCTCCTTGCAACACATGGAGATTATTACAGAAAACCACAACTGGCAAAAAAAAAAAAAAAAAAAGCAGAGAACAAGTGATCATGTGTGCCCAGTTCCAAATGATACAACAAAAGTCTCAGGGATCATTGTGGAAGAGGGAGTAGAGTTTTGTAGGTACCAGAGGTTGTAGAAACCAGAGGAACAGGCTACCTGTTGTAAGACTATGTCTTCTAGAAATGTCAGGGAAGCTATGCCATGTAATCTCAACAATATGGCTACCTACCTAAGACCTAAACAAGGATGATATGCTAACAAATATGTTAACATGGAAGGAGGGAGTCTCATGGTTTCCACCTCTAGACAGAGAACTATAGTCAAAGGAGAAATGGGAAAGGTGGGTGAAATAGTCTTCTCCAGGCAAGAATCCTCTCAACAGGTTATCCAGTACCAATGGTCAGTCTTGAGATCATATGTAAGACCACCAAACGAAGATTTGCTAAAATATTACAGAACATAAAAACATCTGAAATAAAAATGCAAACCAAACAAAAACAAAATTGTTAGTCTCCTTGAGGATTTATTCTTGTTTCCTCTAACTTGACACCACCCATGTTCTCCTGGCACCCTGCTGTGGCATGTTCCTCTCCAGTAACTTCCTTCCTGGCCACTTCTCTGCTTCCTTTGCCGATAAACAAATCTATATGTCTTTAGCTCCGTCCTACACACTGTTTAAGAAAGTAGGTTCTCATACTTTCTGTCTCTGAGCTCTTTAAAGTTTTCAATTCTCAGGACTTCATCTAGAACAAATAACATGAGTTAACAGTAGAGTGACCCTTGGGTTGTCATTACAGTGATAAAGAAACCCAAAGCACAGCCTGTCGCGTAACAAACAATAGCTATTTATAGTATTATAGTCATTGATGCTCCTGCTAGTTTGAAGAAACATCATTTTTCTATTTTATAGCAGGGCTCCAGCAGCATACCAGCTCAGATCTGCCACCCTTTGTCACTTATTTTTCTGCATCCATCTTCTGATCTTTTCTACTAGGCAAGATTCTACTGCCAGCGACTTGGGACTTCACTCATAGCTTCTTTTTAAAAATAACTCACTTTTATTTTTGTGTGTTGGTGTTTTGCCAGCATGTATGTCTATTTGAGAGTATCAGATCTTGGAGCGATACAGAGTTGTGAACTGCCATGTGGATGCTGAGAAT